CTGCCTTCCTCCTTGATTTTTTTGCCACACGGATACGAGTGGTGCTGCTCTCTACAGGTGTGGCCTCTCGGGCAGTTCCTAGTGCAGCACTCTAACCTTCGTCTGTGTTCTCTCTGGAAAGGGCTGCAACAGTGCTGAGCCTCCTATGCAGGAAGAGTCCTCTTTCTGCCTTCAAAGTAAGCTTTCACCAGCACCCTCTTTGGCATATTACAAAGTTTTCCAGGTGTCTTATTTGTTAACAGATACTATTACTGTTTAGCACCTAAAGCTTTTGGCCAAGCAGCCTATTTATGGATGGATTTTACCCTGCCACCTTGATCCTTATGGGCCATCAGCTTTGTTTAACCTCACACTGGTGCATGTGCAAGAAAGCTCTTGCTTTTTACTCCTCTTGAAGAGGAGCGTTTGTAGTTTAAAAGTGGGTTATTAAAACTGTTCAACCAGTTATAAAATGTTTTTTTCCCAGAAGTGAGAGTCAGCTGCAGCATAAGCACAGTGCTGTTAACAGGGTATAAGGCACTCAGGAGCTCTTCTTGCTCAGCAACACACCAGTGTTGTGTGGTGACCTCCTAACCTCTCTTTGTATTTCATTTACCCATAAATCTATACAGAAGTCAATAGAGCAGGACATCTCTTCTCTTAGGAGCAGTGTCAAAACTTTACAGTGTGAATATATTCTGTCAGAAAGCTGCTGCAAGGGTAATCAAGATGAATCGCAGCAAATACTCAAAATAGTGCCTTTCCTCTTTGAATATACATTCAAAACCCCCAAATCTTTCTTCTATCCCATTAACAGCCAACTTGTGTTTTCCCATGGGCAGACTGAGCTGTTAATTCCTTACAACCATGGTTCCCCACATACCTCTGGCTTTAGTGTTCCTCTGCAGAGCCTTCTTTCTCACACAAAATAGAGTGGATGCTGCTCACAGCCTAAGTTCTGTGCCATCCCTTCTTTCCACAGACAGTGTTTATGAGACATGGTGGTCTCCTCCTCTCCTAAATGGTAAGCCTTGCAGGCTGTTCCCATTCCCTCTAATACCTTTTGAAAGGTACTACCTAGTACCCACTTCTTGGCTTTTCAACTTGAGAAAATATTCCACAATTTGTCCTGGTTGGTTATGTTAATTTTTGACATTTTCTGTTGCATGCACAATGATAAATGCACACAGAAAAAGCATTTTGCATTGCCTTAGTTAATAATGCATACTGCAACTAAGCATCTGTTCAGAAAACAGAAGTATATTAACCCCATCCCACTGCAAAGTCCTAATATTTCATCTCATAATTCAGTTGCAACATACTATATATATATTGATCTTCTTGCTAGTAAATGTGTGGTTCAAACATTTTCAGGTAGTAACCTACAAAGATAATGAAATCCCTTAAAGCAAAATTAATTCAAAAATTTAAATCGAATTTAGACTCTTTCAGTGCTCTTAACTCTAGTAATTCCTGTTCTGCAAGAACAGGACCATGCAACAATTATGTCCAGTTACCGTGGGAAGCACAAACTAAGAATTGTGGTTGAAAGGCATCTTACATAACTGAAGATAGTTTCATCTCTATGTTCCTTTGAGGGAAAATTCATACAACAAAAGAAAATAATTTCCTTTCTGTTGTTTCCAGGAACCAAGTGCACACACGTCCCTTGCAAACTCATTCACCCAACTAGTGCTTTTGCAGCCAACACTTCTAATTAAGCCTGCAAAAGGACTAAAAAAAGGAGGGCAAGCAGGGCAAGAAGAGAGGCAATTTGGCTCCAGTAATAAACAGCAAGCAGTTTAGAGGCAGCAGCTAAAGTATATTAAATCATCTCTTTCATCAGGCAGCAACAGTGGGGCCCTAAGGCAGATAAAAAGGAACCACAACACTCTTCCTGTCTGCTACAGTATCAAAACACTGTATTTCTTTGTCTCTGCTTCTCAGCAAGGACTGAACTAGGGGAAAACTTCAGAAAGGCCAGCCAGCTCCAAGCCAGGTTGCAGCATCCCTCATCCAGCAGACACCATTTCCTTGGTCCCACTGGTTCCCTGAAGCATGGCACAGCCTACCCAGCTCTCCTCACTGGCCAAACTGCCAGTGCCTCCCATCAACACCACTCTCTCAGAAGCCACAGTCTCACCCTTGCTCTGTTCCATGTCCCCTGCTGCTATCAGTCATCTCTCAACCCTGATTGATAAAGCTCTTTACACATAAACTCCTTTAGGTCACATAAGAGCTAAAGACATAACAGGTAGAAAAACTTGAATTTTAACTTGAAATTTCTAAAGCAGGGAGGAGATTTGCTTTTGGGTCTTCTGTGGTGGTGTTGGTCACATCTTTCTGTTGGTCCCAATTTACTGCAGTACATTCATGCATGGTCATTTCTCCTCTATTATCCTGATGAATACTGAAACTAAGAGGTTAAAAAAATTCAATTTACTAGTCACCAATTCACACTGGTATTTTTTTTTTTTGCTTGAGTTATATCCAACAGAAAGGAAGTTAAAAACCTGAATGCAATTTAATTTTGGCTTATGATAACTAACTAGCTGCCATTCTGCTTCAGCTTTGTCACATTATACTGTTGATTTTGAAAGCCCTCATAGCAAATTTTTATTTATTTTGGCATTGACATGATTTCATTTTTGATGTACCTGCACTACAAACAAATGCATTTTATGACATAATATGTGTACTGTTACTGACAGAATATATATGCCAGCATTGCTTTGCCATGAAAGAGTGCCCAGCTAAAGTAGGGGATGGGGATGAAACCTGGATGACAAAAAGCAGACAGTTCTACCACTTGTCCAAATTGCTCTCTGTTCTCAAATTACTGCCAGGCAGACATACTTTTTGGTGTCAAATTATATTACAGCCATCAGTGATAATTAAATGCAAAGACAATGCCACAATACATGGCATTACAGTAACTGACAATGGCAGTTGACAAATGAAACATGAAAATGATGAGAGGCTGCCAAAATTGAATTATATTAGTATTTAAACCTAACTGGGCTGGTTATGCTGAAAGCAAAAATAAGGACAACAAAGTCTGTAGAACCAGGTGGGGAAGCCAGAGTCCTGCAGTGTTAAAGCCCAGGCTCCCAAAGCAAAAGGGGCATTTGTGAATGTCTCAGCACAGTCATAGCAGACACCTGGCATAAATGCAAGGCAGATGTATCTTAAGGATGGTGTTTATTTCCACAAACTCTCGTTGACATCAAAAGCTAGCAAGGGTTGTCTTGTCTTCCAGAACACAACCAAAGGTCCAATTCCCAAGGGACACAGACAGGAATGTACAGGATACCTTGGCCAACTTGAGCCTGTGCAACTTCACCTGCAAGGCACTGGGCAGAACAAATGAACAGGAAACCCAGTGCAGGGGGTGGAAGTGGGGGAGGGCAGTGAACGATGGACAAAGCAGTTTTTCTTGTGCAAGTAACTCCAGCTTAGAGCCTGTTCCTGCCCTGACAACAGCTTCACGTTGCAGCCATGCTGCTCCACCATCTGTCCCCTGGCTGAAAGCCTCCGGTGCAACATGCACCAGGTACACATTTAAGCCAAGAATGGCCTACAGGGTTTGGATAGGGAGTCTAAGTAAAAGTGTTGACATCTATATGAAGCTTACATCTATTTGCTTCACAAGATGACAGGGAAACCCACATCATCTATTTGAAGGTGAACCTTCATGCTGAATTGCCATATGTACCCATAATGGAAATAAATCCATCAGAATAGAGCAATCAACAAGTCTAGACTTGTTTTATGATGCTTTGGATAAGGAATTCAGTTTTTCACTGCCACATATCTCTGCACATTGGCTAGTTCATGTGATTGTTATTTTACTTAATGTTTTCCATAGCATTTCCTAATTGTAAGAGGTGCAGATGCTGCTTGATCTGTCAATAATCAATCTGACATAATTTTTGACAAGAGATTTACATCAGTCATCTTCAGTCTAACTCAGAACAGGCTTTTATCGTGTCACATCTCAGACCAATTGAGACTAATTAATTATCCTACCAAGTAAGTGTGGCAATTTGAACTGCTAAAATATTAACATTACAGTGAACTTCAGTTGACCCAAGGGACATATCATCTTGACCAACTACAACAATTTCATGGTAATTTCTCTTCAGTGTAACACACAAAGTGATGATCTTCTAGAAATTTCCTGAAAAACAGTCCCTTTCTATCTTTGCCCTTGTCAATACAGAAGACTTTTTCACACAGGAGTTGCATTACTATTGGACCTGTCTCATGGTGCCACTATGAAATTCACAGTTTATCCCCTTGCATAGCTCCAGCAATGTTGCTGTGAACTTCTGACAGGTTTTCCAAAAACTCACTCTTGGTTGGTGCTACCCATAACACAAAGCATCTCTGCTAATAGGTCAGGAATAGAACTCTCACAGGTTCTATTGACAGTCCGACCCCAAACACAACATGCTCTCATGATGCTTTAGAAATTTTTTTTTCCCCCCAGAACTTCCATTTCCTTCATGTTTTCTGTAAAGCTTTCTGTCCACAGACATCTCTTAGGGCTCTTTTGTTTACTGAATCCTAATGTGTTAACACTGAATAGAATTGGGCTCTGCCAACACCTATCCCCTTTCAATAACTAAGCCATTTAATAACCATATTCTATACTGTGTACTCACAGCACCAAACAGTACCAGAAAAACAAGCACTATTCTGTACAGAAAACAGCACGGAACTTAAGCCTTAGATTTTTTTTTTTTCATTTTGGAAAACAAAGATCCCAAATACACCTCTCAGCATTCTCCAGAAAGAGTTACACCAAGCCTGCAGGTCAAGCACCACATAAGACTTTGGTTTATAGAGAAACATCATAGAAGATTCAGGTCCAGAATAATCTATCAAGAAGAATGGACTCTGATACTGACAAGTTGCTAAGTTACTAAGACCACATGTATATTAAAAATGTTTATACAACATTTTCCTTTTGATTGAGTAGTAGTTGTTGCTTTGACAAGGAAAAAAAATCAGACAAGTTGTTGAAACAGATGCCAAAGATTTTATACAAGGAATGTCATGGCTGCTTTCTCTTTGTGCATTAACATGGTAGTAAAGCTACATGCATAAACAGCACACAGGCCACAGCCTACAAACCAAGAACACATTGCTCACCCATTAAAAAAATAAAGAATACTTTGAAGCACAGAATTATGCTAGATGTACAGAATGTCTTTTAAGAGAGGATTTCTACCTACTCATGCCCTTACTTGGACAACAGTCAGTTTATGGCAGACTTTTGCTTACAAAAACATAAGACAGTCCGCAGTAAACTTGGCCAGTACCGAAGGTGTCCTGGAACATCTTCTAAGTCTACTTCCTTGTGTAGGCTGGATGTAGTTGTGAAGGGACAAACACTTTGTGAGCATGGTCTTTCAGAGACAAAGTGAGAACCGCTTGTTACAAGGAAAGTCAGTACACTTGTTCAGAAGATAAAGTTCTTTATAGCAGTTAATTTAATTATACAGTCTTAAAACAGGGTTTTGGGCATCTCATCACACAAGAGCACATTTATTAAGCTGGGGAAAAAAATACCACAGTTGCAGGACACTGCATTAAACTCCAGCCACTCCAAGAGGAGGCAACTCTCATGTGGTGAAAGAATTTTTGTCTATGTAAGCCAAGAAGGGAGAATTTTAGGCAGTTTAATCCACAATGGTCTCATACTTCTTATAAGTGGAACCACAAATCCACAGTACATGACAGTATAAGTTAGGTAAAGTGGTGCTTTTCATAATAAAATCAGTGAATTCATTGCAGTCCTTTCATAAAAGGATGAAGTCCAGTGAGTGCCAGTTGCTAGGAGCAAAGAAGAAAGGTTCCCATTTTCCAGGCTGATTTGTAAGTTCATATTATTAGAAGAAACTAAGACAAGTCTGTGCAGTTTCTATGTAACCATATCTGAGAACATAGAGGCTTCAGAGACTATAAGATCACTTAAGAAGTGGGGGAAAAGCAAAGTCATCACAACCCAAACAACTCAAACTTTGTATCGCAGAATTGCCTACAAAACTTGTTCTCTTCTTCTGCTCCAGACAAAACTTTTAACTGCAATGATCTTACAGAGAAACTTGAAGAAAACCTGAGTACATGAAAACATTGTCAGGGAGAGAAAAACCCTGCTACCTTTTGATCTGGTATTGAAGTTGAAATGGCAAGATCAGAATGCTTTGCCTCGTGCCATAGGATTTGCTTTACCTTTCAGAGCTCTACCGGTCTCTGCCAGGGAGTCTGTGTTAACTTGATACCTCTTGCACTGCAAGACCATTGCTCATATCAGTTTAATAAATCTGGGTTTAATCTTCCATGGCCAGAAGAGCAGCACCTCTAGATGCAGAGTTGGCTGAACTACCAGGTGTAATTCATATATCAACACTGGAGATTCCTGGCAGCAGAGTCCAAACCTTCCTCACAGGACATCATGATCAGCAAGACATTCCAAAAGAAGAATTAGAAGGCCATAACTCTGATCCAATACAGTAAGGAACACCACCATCCATCATTTGAACTAGGAATACTCAAAGCTTCATTTTCAACCATATTCTTAATATACTAAATTATACATAGTTGATATATATATATATATAGAGTTGGTTTTTTTTTAATTGGAATAAAATACACTGGATTTTGGGTTGCTCATTTACAAGGGAGCTCCCTCCCTTTCCCAGTTAATTGGAAATTAAAACCTAGAGGCTGAATGTAAGCTCATTCCCAGTGTTCCAAGATGGATATAACACGAGAGGAGGCCAGAAACTGGAAACATGCACTCTGGCTGCAACAGGTTAGAAGGCGAAAGGGAGACCAGACATTTTCATTTGTAACCCTGAGAACATAAGGAATTGCAACGATCTGGAGAGCAGCCTGGGGTTAAAGGTCACCAGGCTTTTTATTGCAGTTAAAGCAAACTCGGACTGGGTGATCCCATCCGCGAGAGGGAACCGCTCTGCGGTCATGTGAGCACTCGTCACAGAATCCCTGGCCACAGGCCCGACAGTGGTGCTTGGAGAGTTTGATACTGAACTCCTTCCGGCAGTTGTGGCAGTGCAGGATTTCATGATCTGGTACCCAGTATGCAGGCCGGGCAGCAGATTTTACCAGACCTAGGGAGGAAGTGAGGTGTGGGGATGAGAAAGAGGGAGAACAAAATCCATGAACATGAGCATAGCAAGAACGTACTCCAGTGGAGGCACTCACACACTGCAAGTCATACCGCTGCCATTAAGGGGGACGTGACCTACTGACAGAATCCTTCAGTGCAATGAGTGGCCATTTAGGGCATTCTACCATTCTCCCACATTCTGCCTCTCTTCAAAGAGTAAACTGCATCTCTTTTAATAGTGGCATCTTGCCCTTCTCAGACTCTTCCAGAGGTTAAGACATTTGCTTTTTCCTACCTTCAGTTTCAGCTGTAGCCAAAAACACCATCAAATCACCAAACCAAATATTCAGAAATGCTTGTACTGTCTGAACTGAGAAAAGAATCTATTCTGCCCTTCATTGAGTCAGAGAGCAAACACCCACAAAGGTGAAGGCTGGACATGCTGTAGGCAAAGCAGTTGAACAATGATCTGCTCAATGAGTAGGAAGTCAGGTGCAACAACAGAAGATTCAAATGTTAAATGTTTGCTGACATACCTAAACTGCCACCCAACACAAGAAAGAGCAGCAGAGGTTCCCTGCACTAAGCTCACCATGAAAGATCAGACTACTAATTCCCTCCTCATCCTTACCAAGCTGGACAGGTTCAAATTCTCAGCCCTCCCCTCAAAAGTACCAAGAAGTACCAGCAGTATCATGAAAACACTTAAAAAGCACTCAGCATCTCTGAAAGAAAATCAAACCTGATAAAATGTTTCCTAATTGGCCAATCTTTAGGGAACTTCAAATGGCAGGTCACTGCAGTGAAACCATCAGAGGAGCATGAATTACTCACAGCGTGGTGCACAGTTTTGCATAAAAGGGTGAAAAGAGAAAGTGTGAACTGCAGAAACAACATGCTGAAAACCAAGAGGAAACATCAAGCAGAAAAGGTCCAGAGGGCTGTAGAACTCTCAACAAACAGTGGTATCACAGCAGAGGTGCCAGCCTGACACACAAACTTTTGAAGTTTAATAACAAGTTTTGCTCTTTGAAAACAAAAATGCCTTTAGACAAAAAAAACCCATCAGAACAGACAAGAACTCACCTAAGGGAATGTCCATGGCTGTCACCACCGCTCCAAGGGTGTTTTGCACAGCTTCCCCCACTTTCCTGGCAATAAGTGTACCCCCTTCCTCATCTGAAGGCAATTCTGCCACATCTGCATGACACAAGGGTGAAGGGCTCAACACTTAAGTCCACACCTTTTCGGCCAAATTTCAGTTAATTTACATTAACAAAACCAGCAGCAAACCCAAAAGGCAAGTTGTAATCTCTCCTCAGCCTTTATGTTCCCCATCCACAATCTTGGATTGCAGAGTGTTCATTTTAGCAAAAATGGACAAAATATATAGTCTGCTGTAACATAAGCACCCCTGCTCTAATGTTAGCACCAGACCATTAGCAGTTGTTAGGAAAACAAAGTAAAGATACAATTAGAAAATAATTTTGTCAGCAGTTCAGGTGCCTGGTAAGGTCATCTTTCTTCCAAAAGGCATTGAGCTCGTCAGCTTCCTTACCAAAAACTGTTTGGAAACCCAGTGTGAACAACACTGTCTACATCCACGGAAAATGGTTGTGATCCAGAAACTAGGGACAAAGACTTCAGTGCTCAGGGATAGTTCTGCCACAATCAACTCAAGATTACCTAACTGGATGCCCCTGTTGTCATAGCAGTTGTCACACACGCGCACTGGTGCTGGTCCCCAGCCTCGCTCAGGCACTGGACGGGTCTTGGAAGAACAGCCATCGCAGAAGCCCTCTCCACAGGCCCGGCAGTGATGCTTTGTGTCATTATCTTTGAAAGGTGTGTTGCACTTCTTACAGCTCTAATCAGAACAACACAGAAGGAAGAACTGTTAATTTGATCTTCCTGAAGTAAAAAATAGAGAGCAGAAGCCCAGGATGGCAAGTTTCAGACTGAAATTTTGAAAAATGCAGTTGCACACAAGACATGGGTGCTAACAGCCCCATAACTTTACCCCAGGGAAGTGATTTAGAACAGTAGGTGTATATTGGTTAAGCCAATATATTGCTATAATCCCTTCATTCACAATCACAAATAAACACAGTCATATCATGCAGGGCTGAATGATGGATATTTGACCTTTGTGTGGAGTAAGAATTCAGAAGGCAGTTTTCATCGAAGAAGAATCTGTTTCCCGCAAGACAAAGGGAATCCTTTCCTAGTTGAACTGTTTGGGTCAGCTTTTTGCACCTGGTACGAAACCAGAGTTTAATCTATAAAAATAGTACCATCAGCTGCAGTGGCCAGATTTAAGATGCTGATTATTTGCTTTGAAAAACAAATGCATGCAAGCCAGGATTTTCTGTAATATTGCTGGGATAGTAGTTCACAAAGAGCAGGGAGAAACCGTCTCTTTATGAGGGCTGGGCCAAGTCTCTGTTCATAATTTCTTTGGCTAAGAATGGGAATAGGAGAGAGCACTTCAGTTTCTCAAAGTTGAAGGAATAGGAATTGTTGCAGTAAAACAAAGAAGTGTTTAGAATCTGCAAAATACTTTATTACTTAAAGAGTAAGGAAAAGGGGTTTTAGCCAGGCAAAGCCTTTCTCTCCAGCAGCTGCTATTTACCAGAATCTGAGAGTTGGGTCTCCAGTAAGCTGGGGCAATCTGGTCTGTCAACCAGGAGGTCACAGCTTTTGTAGGTCCCAGGCTAAGTTCAGATACTGACTGAGCCATGAAATTCATGCCATCCAACAAACGCTGGGCTGCATTGTTGTTGTCTTTCAGAAACCCATCAGTCTGGAATGAAACAGATACCGATTTGAGAACAAAACCAGGGAAACCTTTTTTTGTAGATTCACATGACTCTGCAACCCATTACTCCTGATAAACTAAGGGCAAGCAGGAGTAAAAGATTCACCAGCCCTGCTTTGAAAGACAGAAGTAGGTTGGCAACTTAGCCATTTCAAGATAGCCAAAAGATGTCTGAAAGCCCTTGCAAAGTCTCTTTTGAATAGCAGGGACCAACTTAATGAAAGGCAATCTATTTTCTCCATCAACATCCAGAAGAACCAAACTAGCATGTGCATGGCTGCACACATACACAAAGACTATCCAGCAACCAGACTTACCCCTGGCCAGACATGCTCAATTTCTGTCCTCACTACAGTGTTCACAGGGTCTTGGTTGCCAAACCAGTACTGCCGGCTGCGATACACCACGCCGCAGTTGGGGCACTCGATCACGTACCTGCACAGGAGGAGGACAGGTCACCTCTCTGGCAAGTCCCATGCACCAGGCAGCACAGAGACCAAGAGAGCAGAGAGATCCAGCTGCAGTACTCACCCTGACCAGGCATACTTGGCGAGGCCCAGCCAAGGGGAATCCGTGGAAGCAGAGGTTTTTGGCACCACACTGACCTCCATCCCTCGTTCATAACAGGCCTACAACATAAAGGCTCAATATAAACTACATTATTGGGAATCCAAATTTACATCTGGCTATTGTTTGGCCACATAAAGCATATAATTAGCATACAGAGGTCCACAGCAAAGGAGCACTCATCAGAACTCACTTAAAAACAAAGCAAAACCAAACCCACTATCAATAATAACATCATGGAAGTATTTCTACATCAATAAAGACCATGACTGTAGACAAAAATTTTCCTGTCTCCTGCACAAATCCTTAAGAAAAATTGGCTAATACCAAGCACTGGGCATAAGCAAATAAGAGTAACTATGTCAAATATATAAAAGGTCAACATCACCCAGGTTAACAGCAGCCACCTTCGAAATTTAGCTAGAAAATGACACATAGCACACAGAGGTGATGAACTCTCCAAGCAAACATACAAGTCAAATAAGGATCAATTTTTCTTGTCAAGGCTATGAGCACCTCTGACATTAAAAACAAAAAAAGGAAGAAAACAGGCACATGCCTGTGATAGTCCTCATTTACTTGGTCATCCTTTCCTTTTTCATTCTTCAGACCTTGTCCTTATATCTCACCTTGCAAGTGTAGACTCTGTTATCATACTGGTGAGAATATCTGCATCGACTTTTGGATTCATGAGGGACTCCTTCCTTTGCATGGTTCATGCTCTTCTTACAGCCACACCTGATTATGCAAGAGCAATACATGAGTTGTTGCTCTTAGACACAGGATAGATGTCACCAAGATTTCATTTTTACTGCTATCTTACATTTTTATAGATTATGTGCCCTCAAACCATCTTCACAACTGTACATACAGCAATGACATAATTTATTATTGAAAGGCAGGCTCTTCAGAAAGAGGTGTAGCAACTGTTTCCCATACAAAGCAGCACCACACAACAATGCACTGCAGAAAATGCTCAGCATCAGAAAAGAAGCATAACCAACCACAACATTGTGCTGCTATACAGCCCCCAGACTCAAAGCACAGACTACCATCTACTGCCCTTCCAGCCTCAACCTTGGGGCTCTTTCCAGAGAGCTACAAGCCAAGATCCAATCAAATATGGAGCTCCACTTAGACCTAGTCACTGAATACAGTCCCACCCCATGATGTATGCATTAGGATTGTTCATACTGTTTAAGCAATAAAAATAACAGGAAAAAAACATCATAAGACATTTCAGGGGATTTATTTCGACACTCCTTTCTTCCTGCCCTGCTTGCATTTGGGAAAAGATATGGGCAGCACAGGTTTGTAGTCATGCACAAAAACAGAGTGGGCAAAAACCAGGCATCCAGCTGGGATGTGGCAATAGTGACTGTCCAGTTCACATAAGAGTTGAATTTCAAGCTTATTTTGCCCAGAAGTACTAGCTGAGGATAGATGATGTCAGGTGTCAAGATGTCACAGAAACTTTACATTCTGTGGCTGCAGGTGGGCACAGCACTATCCTTTAAGAGGATGGAGATGCATTTTTCATCTACTTACCCACAGCTGAGGCACACAGAGGAGCATGTGAAATATTCATCTGGAAAGAAAGAGCTGTGAGCCATCTGGTCATCTGGGATCTCCCCACTGAACCGGTCACTTAGAGCCTGTCAAACAAAAAAGAATGAACTGGAAAGAGATTAAGGGCAATGAAGACCTTTTGCAAGAAAAGGCATGGATTCCTCTACTGGAGGGGGGGGTGGGGGCAGAGAAAGTACACAGCTAATAAATGTGTCTTAGTAGCCTGGAAAACAAAACAAGGATTGGAAACGAAGCAAGAATGCAATCTTGCACTTGTATGGAAATTACTTGAATACTTTTAAGATACTCTTTTTCTCCAGAAAGTACACAGCTAATAAATGTGTCTTAGTAGCCTGGAAAACAAGGATTGGAAACAAAGCAAGAATGCAATCTTGCACTTATATGGAAATTACTTGAATAATTTTAAGATACTCTTTTTCTCTGCTTTCCTCTCCTCCTGTCCCTAGTTTGAATTTTGTAGTAGAAATGCGTTGTGGAAAATTGCATGCACCTCTGTGCATCCAATCCATGCTCAAAATAGCGGGGCTCTTGTTAAATGGGCTTTGCATTCTGGAAACCTCTGAAAAGAAACTCATAGGATCATTTCTCATAGTTCATGAGAACACATTTTTTGCCTCTTGGCTGAGAAAGCGCTGCCCTGAGCTTTCCTTCAGCCACTTGAACAACTGCTCTTCTCTGGTGAATTGGCAAAACTGAGACAAAGGAATTTGTACCCTTTCCTAGGAACATCCATTCTCAGATGAAATCAGTCCTTAGTCTTGGCACACTTAACTTTTTAGGTTCTTTCAGGTGTTATGTTTAAGGGAAAAAAAAAAAAAGCACTGGAACAAAGCAAATGGTTAGTTTTTCTTGATGGAGATCTCTGAAGGCATGAGATCTAGCTGAAACTCTTCCTGCAGCTGAGTTTTATATAGTGGCTGCCTGCCTTTCTCTTGCTCCTCCTCCTCTCACAGGGCTGGGGTAGGTGGAGTGGGTGTATCTTTGCTGTCTAACAAGGGTTGACTGCACACACACACAGACTTGTGTGTACCTATCCTACCACAGCTTCCCTCAGATAAGTACTCTATTTAAACATTTTATTTCACATAATTTCAAGGAAATTTGCTTTACATCCTCTTTTAAGCTTGACTGATACTGATACTTTTGAATGAACTCAAAAGTTAGAGGAAGTGGACAGAAACCTCTAAAAAGTCTTGTGTCCTCAGCAAGTGAAGCAAAAGAAGTTAATTTGTAGTCAGTAGTGATTTGAACACAGCAAACACTTCACTGGTCATGAATTTAAGTACACCAGCAGCTATATCTGATACCAGGCTACTTGATAATTGCAATAACATCCTAGAAGTTAAATTAAAATTAATGATTCCAACTGTTTTCCCCCTTGCTGCCTGTCTGCTCCCAAATGCAGAGAACTGACTACATGCCATCCTGACACTTCCCTCTGTGCTTCAGCTACCACTAATGCAGAGCAGCCAGAATTATCTGTTCCAACAGCTGTGACTAACACCAGAAAAGACTGCTAACACTACCTCCTTCTGCAGATATGCCCTGGCTCTGCCTGCCCCTCCCCAATGACAACTGTGCTCTTCAGGCCAAAGAAAATATGATGTTAATCAGGCAGTAGTATGTGGAAAAGGAAAGACTGCACATTTAAAGACCCAAAAATCCCTCCGACACCCTAGCAAAGTGAACCATCTAAGAAAATCACTTGTTCTAAAGTCATACATCATTTGGCTTGATCCCATCCTGTTCCCTACCCGCACAATCCTTCCTCCTTTTTGCCTCCTAGTCCTTGGGTTATACTACTCAGTGCTAGCTTTTGCCAGCTATTAACTCTCTCCAAGTCTCTTGCATTTTCTCCTCTTGTGCTGAGGCCAACTTTAGGAATTTTATTAAAAAACCTTTGAAGGTCTCTCTTTGTCAATCACTGTCATGAAGTGCTTGTCACTCACAGCATCAGTTACTTTTATCTTCCCAGCTCCAATTTATGATCTTGCTCAGTTTGGCTCTTTAATTTTTCTTCCATGGTCTTTACTGAAGTGTTTGTTTTGAAAAAAAGAAACCTACTCAGCCTCCCTGGCTGTTAGACAAAATTATCATTCTCATGGAAGACTTGCATGCAAGTCTGCATTACTGTTTCAGGTGCTCTGCCTTTCTGAGCTGCAGCTGAGTTAATATCAACAGTGGTACAAATAAACACTGTGACAAACTCTTCTTCACTTACTTTTAGTGCTTTGTAGATAACCCCGGGCTGTCTAGGTGACCGAGTAGTATTGTTCTCCAGCTGCTGCTCCACAGCTCGCCTAAGCCCAGAGAAATCTGTTGGAGGATTGTACGTCCTTGTTCCCTTGTAGTGAATTGAGCTGAAAGCCTCAGGAAAACAGCTTAGCTTCCGAAACCGATCCTGAATGAGCTTCTCAGGAACCTCGGAAGGATGATCTACATATAAGAGTATCAGCAAGTTCATATACAACTGATTGTTTAAAACAATACTTTAATTGCATAGGACTTTCACATGCAACATAGACCTAGTTTTCTTAATTAAATCTTCTAATACATCTGGAATGCAGTTATCATTATATTTTAAAACAAAGAAAAGAAACTTTCCAAAAGCGGTCTCTCTTTTGTGGTACACAGCTTTAAATTCCAAGACCAAGTTTCTCAGGTAAAATCAGACACATCTAGATTTTGAAACATAGATATCCAGATTAAGGAGCAAGTTAGGACATAATACAAGGAAACACAATGTCAGCACATTTGTTAAATCTTCTCACCAGACCATAACTTGGTATAGCTATTCCTAGCACCTGATAAGTGGAGGACATAAACATTACATGGGGCTGCCTGTTCTCCATGCCAATCCTGTAGCAACGAAGACCAAGCCTTTATCAACAGTTTGTACATGGCAAAGCACTTCAGAACGGGCCATATCAGGTCAGACTCCACAGAGCCAACCACATTCTCCTGCCTACTTCCAAGCACCTGCTGTACATTTCAGAATAAGGCAGGCCCCATCTTCCCTGTCCTAAAACTACATAAACACACTTACTTAAATTATCCATTGAGACAGATGGGTACAGCTTTCTGCATATCCATATATGCTAAGTGGTTTCTTTCCTATTCCTACTGTGATCAGAAGTGGCCATAAAAATATATTTTTTTTTGTAACCCTGACTTTGCATACAGGTGCAAAGTGTCCTTATGGGTCACTAAAGGCTGAACTGATGAAACAGCAAACGTAACAACTTCATGAAAGGCTGAATTACTAATCAGCAAATTGGTATATAAAGAAAGGATCTGCCTTACAGGTAAAGGTTATTAACAAGTTACTCCAATAATAACCAGAAAGAACATCAAGTTCTTCTACTAGTTGAAAACTTCACTGTTTAGAAAAGCCAAAATGAGAATGTGGATCAGCCAGGACTGCTGAGGTATTTATTACACAAGACTTGGCTCCTAGATGTTCACAAACAGCAGGACTGAGCCTCAGCCACTGTTGCCCTTGGGATAGACTCATGTCCAAGAAGTTCATGAAGAACTGTCTCCCATGGGAGGGATCTCACACTGCAGCAGGGGAAGGATTCCTCTCCCTGAGCAGCAGCAGGAGCAATGTGTGATGAACTGGCCATAACTCCATTCCCTGTCTTCCTGCATGGCTGGCAGGGGAAGGAAGTAGAGCTGGGAAGGAGGAAGGGATGGGGGAAAGTTGGTTCTAAGATTTATTTTACTTCTCATTACCCTGCTCTGATTTTGTCAGTAATAAATTCAATTAATACCCCCAAGTCAAGTCAGTTTTCCCCATGATGGTATTTGATGAGTGATCTCTCCCACACCTTATCTCAACTGATGAACTTTTCATTATATTTTCTCTCTCCTGTCCACTTACGGAGGGGAGTGATAGAGCAGCTTCGGTGGGTAGAGCAGCCTGGTATCCAGCCAGGGCCAACTCACCACATCAGTTTTCACCTTCATCTGCCGTATCACCCACACTCATGAATTTGTATGATGACCCCTCCTGTGGCTGACAGAACTCATTACTATTCAGTGCTGAAGTTCAGCTGGCTAAGAGGATTATTCTAGCTGATTTGGAAGAGGGAATGCTCTTCTAGTTCCACAGCCTGGTTCCCAGACTGAAACCAGTGAGAGCAAAACCCAAATCACATTTTTACATGGTAGTAAAGAGTGCTGAATATTCAATGCAACCTGACAGGTTACACACAGTGTTTAGCACATTGTAATTGGAATTGCCTACTCACCAGAGCCCAGTAGCTTGGTGTACACAGTCTCATGAAAGATGATGACACCTGGACCCAAAGTTGACAGAGGAACATCTAGGCCACAGCGGGCTGTGGTAGCTTTTAGCTCCTTGGTGAAGTGTTTTAAATAAGCCTCCGAGGCATCACCAAGGAATTTGAAGAGGTCATTGTGGAGCCTGTCAGCACGAGTACGGTAGATGACAAGGTCAGAGATGGCCAGGACCTTCAGCAGCAGCCGTGTTCTCTGGCTCAGGTTGACAGTGGCCCCCAGGAGGCCCTCCGTATCAATGACCACCACTTTGCGGACAGGGTCATAGGCTGCCCAGACTCCAACTGTGCAAGACTCCTGGGCAGGAGACGTCTTGAAGACTTCCCGGCCATAGAAGAAAGTGTGGTTAAGGGTGTGAGACTTTCCATCCCCTGTGTTCCCAAAGATGGACACTACCTTTAGGTGCTGGTCAGGACTGCAGTCCAGTTTCTTAATAAAATCTTCCTCATTCCTTACCTTCCAAAACAAAAAGAGAAAAATATTATAACTATGTAATTGGAGTAGGCAACACTGAAAACACAGCTCGCGTCAGAATTCGTAAGATTTAAAAGAGTGACCACCTTCTCTTCAGATTTCATCATAAGTTTCTGAAGCACCAGGAAGTACAAAGCAAAATACTAGAATGCAGTTTTGTAAAATGTACACATTGATGGGATTTATGTTGCTCCATCATGTAGCTGTTTTGGAAGTGATGCCTCACTGTGATTATGTATGTAGTCAACTCTCTAGTACCTCACCCCATTCTCTGAGACAGCCCTTTCAGACAAGGCAGCACAACACTACTGCCAAGTCTGTCAGAACAGCTACCTGGAGCATGGCAGACTTTCTCAGTAGCACTGGTCTCCAGGTAAGCACGCAAATTCAGGAGTGAAAGAGGACATTGCTTTTACCACTTTAACTTGCCACATCCACAGAGGTTGAGCACCTGTTTAGGTACAAAAATCTCTGCCATGCACTTGTGCTGCATCTGTCTACAGCCAGGGGTTTTCAGACACAAACTGTCCTATTCCCACTGCTCTCCAGCTGATCAATCCTTCAGCTGGAAAGTGGGAGCAGAGAAGAAGCAGCATAACTGTGCACTGCAGTCAGGTGCTTGAAGCAGGTCAAACTGGCTCTCACAGAAGTGCCACAACTACTTCAATGATCCCTTTCATAATTTACTTATTGTACTTTCATTAAAAAATAAAACAAATGAACACACACATACAAAACCAAAAAGAAGAGCAGGTATCCCTTTGGCTTTACATAGTTTAAGTGTCAAGCATCCTGCTGTCTAGGCTAAAGAATAGGGCATTTTCTGTTCAGATACTGGAGCAACAGGAGCAGATAAACAAGCACTGAAACGGGCTATGGCTCTGTACAAGAGCCTGCCCTGATCTTATTGCAGAATAAGTCCTTGGCTTTCATAGGTTTCATGCTTCATTCGTTTAGCTCTTACTTTTTTGTCTTCCAACAGGTTTTATCCACATATTATATGACAGGAAAGACTATGACAGGCACTTTTTGAGAAAGATTAAATTCACCTTCTTAATCTCAATTCCCTCTTCAAGGAATCCCCATCAACTAAAAAGAGCAGGGCTTCTATCCCCTCTCACCTGCCACTTAACTTCTGGAAGCTCTTGCTATTTTCATCCTGCAAGTACAGTTGGAAGATCTCACAGTCTAGGCACCAGAGAGGCAATGAGGTAATAAATGGTTTCTTTGAACAAGTTTATTCATAAATCAGCAAATCAGTTTAAGGCTCAGCCAGCCCCATTTGCTTTGGTCAAATCTATCAACAGCACATAGACTTTGAAGGAAAATAAAAATCAGCCAATGTGCCAGATTGTGGTTGGGAATAGCGTTCACAAAGAAAACCTGTAGGCAAATCTATCAACAGCACATAGACTTTGAAGGAAAATAAAAATCAGCCAGATTGTGGTTGGGAATAGTGTTCACAAAGAAAACCTGTGGGCTTGCAGTAGCTTCTCACAGACTCAAACCATTCAAGGCAGCCTCACAGTGTAGAGGACAACAGGAAATAAGAGACACCAAAATGCTCTTAAGAGAATCTTTCCTGGTGTCTGTGGGGGAACATCAAGATACACTGAAATTACAGGTGCACAAGAAAGGGTCTGCCTCCTTGGTAGATGTGATTATTAGCTTATCATCATGAAGGTAGCTTAGATGATAGATGGAGTTTTGCTTACTGTCTCTTAAGATGTCTCTGTGGAAGAAAGGAAGTTCTTCGTTCATGAAAGAGCTCCTAACATATCCTAACATAGCTCCTAACATTCACATATTTGACAATATAAAAATTTTATGTGTACATAAGCAAAAAGGAACATGATAATGTCTTCTTCAAAAATGTTTTGGTTTTAACTCCCACCTCCCAAACTTCTCATCAAAAAGGTGACAGGTCCTTTTTGCCAGAGTCAATAGTTATGTGCTCCCTGGACAACACAAAAAAATATCAGTTTTCAAACAACTGCTTAAGTATTGACATGATAGCTAATGGTGAAGATCTTTTAGCCAGCACTAGTTATTACTTTGGTAGCAGTTTGGGAGAATAGGCTGAGTCAGTAATGTCAGGAGACACAAAGGACAGTAGGGACAATAGGAATAAGGGTAACTCTGAGATATATTCCCACCTTTAAGAAACAGAAGTGAACTCAAAGTTACACTGAGTATCAAATCACATACCCAAAGTTATTCCCTTCTAAGTTATCCCCTTCTAGGCTCTTTGCAGACCTCCTTTCAGGACAGAACTCAGGTGTGATTTGAACAAACAAGTTACCCAGGGGCACAAGAATGCACCAAAGTCTAGTTAGCCCAATGTTTATGTTTCACAGGACTTGGTAATGAATGAGGAAGAATTTCAGACATGAAATGAGTAAATGTTTCCTAGCATACTTTACCAGTGCTCAGAAGCGGGATGACCAAGAACTTGAGCAGTGGTTGCATTTAGATGCTCATGGTAGAGAACCAGACCAATCCTTCCTTGTAGAACCTAGTCATAATTTTGGATCCTGCAACATCTTTACAATAAATTCCATGTGGGAGGAGAAGGAACAAAACCAAAACCAAGTCAAAAGAAGTCCTTGAAGCCCTCCCCTTTGAAGGTGAAAACGCTTGTACGTCACGGTGCTCCTTGCTCTTGTGCACTAGCTGACTTTAACCATAACCAGGAATGATAATCTCAAAGAACCATCCACAACAACCCCCATGTCAGTAGTCCAATTTACTTTCCTTGAGCAAGTTCTTTTAAGACATTTGAAGTCTGAGTGGGTGTAGTGTCAAAGCAGTAATCCCAACTTCTTTGTTTTGCTTTTCATCTCTAAAACAAATTGGTATGGTACCACCTTCTGTTGCTTGTGCAAGGGGCTCATGTTTCCATAACTGTGTCCACTTCCATGTTGCCCAAGAGCTCCAGATCTCTGAGGTTCACAGCAGAGGGTAAATATGAAACCTTCCTTATGTTGCACACCAAAGTAAATTCAGCATGAAAACTGTATGTCTAAATCAAGACATGAGTCACATCTCGTCAGCCCCTTCTTGATTTTGCCATTTCTAGTACCAGAAACTCATTTACACTTTTGTTATAGCCCTTAAGAGACTCTCTTTTAAAAAGAAGATTAAATCACAATTTCAATGTACATTGAAAATAAGAGAGAAAAAAATATAAAAATCTATAAAGCAGATTTCTTTCTTTAACTACAGCCAGTAAGACTAACCTAGGAATAAGCTCCATCACAGTAAAGTGCCACCACCAAAATTCACATCTCTGCAGGGCACCTCACAATCACTCCTGAGAAGGCAGTGCACAAATGCAAAGAAGTGAAACTGGCTAACCCAGCAACTCAAGTGCAACAGGCTATTAAAAATGCAACTGGAAATTCCATACTTTTGCCCCAGAAGAAGCTTTTGTTGATATCCACAAGTGTCTCTTGTTATCAAGTGACAAAAAAGATGGTTCCTTGTGAGGAAGAGAAACTTTCTGCTATGAAACCCAAAACATCAACAGAGCTATGAGACAGTCCTTAAACCACAGTAATTCAAAACCAGTTTCCTCTGAGATCTTAGGCTAATTCAGGCTCAAAGTGAACTCAGGAGGTCATTACTTCCTCTGACTTTCAAAGTCTTTCAAACAAGAGATTTTGATCATAAACAGGTGCTCAAGAAGAATCAAAGCTGACTTTTAAGTCCAAGCATCTCCAGTTTTCTACCTTAGGTTGCCTCCTATACCTTTTCTTCTGCATGACTTTCCATGGAAAATATAATTTATGCCATTACTCAAGTCTTCCACATGTAACTTAAAATCACAATCTAATTAACTAATTTGATACAGAAATAAGTGCCTCTAAAAGACAAAAATCCTAAAAGATTGATGAAAAGGGACAACAGAGTAGAAAAGAAAGCTTCCAATAACCTTATTGGGGAAAGAGCATGTCTCATGTCCACCCCCTGCTGCCTCCAAGACACAGTAGTAGGCAGAGCAGTCGTGTCCATACGTGCCAACCAGTAAGCATGCTCGCTGGTCCATGACAGCACACATACTGCTGCTTACTCAAAAGACAGAAAATGTGGACAAGCACTGGATAATGGGAAGACATCCCAGAAATTAGACTTCATTATCAATTATACTGGTCAAAGAGTTACTTTTTACTATGTAAATGTTTTATAGTAGCCTGAGAAAGTTTCTGCAAAGGGCTGTGTCAACAGATTAGTTTATAGAATTGTATATGTCACACCAGTAGTTCCAATCTGGTATTCAAGAGAAAGTTATTAATCACTCATCACTTATTAATCACTGATCCAGTGAACACTTAAGTAAATTAATCACAACTGTCCTCAGTGATCTCCTAGCCTTCAGCCAAGCTAACAGTGGACATCCTCTGGAGTCCTACAGAGCCTCAAGCCCAAATTGAAGGACCTGACACCAGATGCAGGGAGGACAAAATAAAGCAGGGGACAGACACACTACAGGGATCTAAGGTTAGATTCTGACACTTTGATCTTATTCCCCATGTGGACACAGGACTGGTTCAAGCAGATGAAAGCACTTGTATTAAGGGTGTTTCCTAACCTAAGAGTTTTTTCCTGTTTATTTGTCTTCACTGCAGTACCACCTATGGGTTCTGTGAGAATTGTTATCAGCCACAGTACATACTCGTGGACGATACTGTCCCTGAACTGGATATATTTTTCAGACCAAAATTACCCTGTTCCTTCCCACAGCGCTGGCATAGGAATTCAGGTTCAATATCTTCAGGGGTTTGTATGGAGTGTAACAGCATGCGTTTCAACAGGACTTACAGGTCCCTGCAATGAAGGGCAGAGGCTGCCCATGTCTGAGGCCCATGTCTATTATTACAGAACTCTGAGAGGCATAGACAGAAGAGTCAAGTCCTGCTTAACAACAAGCTGGGTTGCTTTGCTTAACAACCCTACCCAAAGAGATCATATTTTAAAGGTTT